CTGTTTATTCATTAGCCTCCTTTTCAAAAGCTTTGCGAGTTGTTTAATGCGAAATTTATTGCGACATTCCGCCTAAATTTGCACTCTATGTACTCTTCTCCTTTATCTCATGAAAGACAAATGCAATATCATAATTCATGTTAACATTATAATCTGTAAGGTACGCCAAGTAGATTAATGATAGTTCCATCTAGGCTGAAACTTATGGCTTCTCTCCTCATCTCTCACTGTGAACTTCGTCCGAAACGAAGACGAAAATGGGAAAAGTTTTTAGAGCTAGTTCCGCGAAAAGTAGACTTTTGGATAATCAAGAAGTAAAATGATTGGAAATGGGTTGTGTTGAGCAAGTTGAGCACTATGATAAATTTTCTTTAATTTTAAGGACGTTTTGGTTCCACTTAGAATTTATGTCAGTAAGCTTTTGTCTGGTCGTAGGGTCTAGTAGTGAATAACATAATCTCAAGACTGGTAAGGTCTCTTGGATTAGTGTGATGTAACTAGTTCACCTCATCTGCTTGATAACAATTGTTAAACAGAAAGATACGCAGGAAGAAATATTTCTTTTATTAGGACGATTGGAACAGTTGAATGAGTGCGATCTTATGTCACTTAATCACTTAAAGAAAGGAAATCCATAGCTTTGCTTATCAGTAAACTTGAAGTGGTGATGAATTAGTTAGCAGATACAAAATAACAGATATTCTAGTTGTGATAGAATAACAGATAATCAGCAAAGTGATAAGTTACTGTTCGCAAATGGTAATTTTGGCGGTTATGGGCATAACTGCATTTTTATCATTTTCAGCTACGCGGTGTGGATAGCAAAGCAATGAGATCGCTCTTAAATGTTACTTCTATAAGGCTACCTATTCTGCTAGTAAAACAAGTTCTCAGATTACTTTATCTTTAAACGCTCTTGTTTCTAAAGCTGCTCCAAATTCAAAGATTTGAAGGATTATATGTTAGACAATGAAAAAGATGCAGCCTCTTCTTTCCTCTCATTTAGTGCAGATTATAGCGTAGTCCATTTATCTCATGGATGACGAAATACAAGAGGTCTGCTCTAAAAGAGTGAAACAGTCTGCTAAAGCTGTAGGACACCGAGATAGTGAATAATTGAACGTTAAAATTTGCATAGGATTGGACAGATTGGGAGCTGGGCTATTCCAACAAAAAAGACAGATGCTATGGTAGCTACTCTTTGAAAAAAAGGTATTCCAGTCATCAATCTAAATTTTGAAAATGAAATTTTGGGATTTGTTGCCAGAAGAAAACTGGAAATAAAAACAATTGTATGAAGCATGGAATGAGGGATAGATTCCAGATGCAAGCAGACTAGGACGTAGCAAACTGTCCAAAGAACATGACACTAAACATAGTGTGCACACATAAGCGTCAATGCACTGCAAAACTTCAACTACTACGATATGCTGTTCGATTCAATAACGACTCTCAACACCAGATGTTAAATTTAGCGTAACAGGTGAATTACCAGCGAGCTTTACACAAACGAACGAAAACTCGAGCTGCAGCGCCAGCTTTTTGGAGTATCAAAACAGCTATTTCAGCGAAACTATTGTCGTTAGAAAACAGCTGTTTGTTTCATACAAGATGCTAGTGGGTGAGCATTGGCCGTAAAGTTTGATCACCTTGTTGAAAAAAAACATGCAATGTTGTACGCTGGTAAAATGCCGTTAACGTTCTTTAGAGATGAGTTGCCTATTTTAACTCTTACAAATTTAAAAGAAAACTCCGATTAGAGATAATTTCAGAAGCAGATATTCGTTGTTAGTTACGTTAGTGACATCATTTTAAAACATGAAACTAGCAAATAACAATGGGACTCCTTATCCATTGAGGTTGGAGAATTCATATAATTTTCTATTGCCAGTTCTACTCGCATTAGCCAGAACAGATGTTCTCAAAATTGGTTTTGAAGAATAAAAAAAGAAGATTCATTGAAAGAAGTTGAACGGCCATAGAAGAATGTCTTTGTCAGCCGTACAAGCGGAACCGTGAGGAAACGATATAAGAATAAATGATGATAGATGTTAGATACCTCCTATCTGAAGGAAGCTAGCGTTGCACTTCCGCCGGATTTTGAAGCTTGTCAACCGCATCGTCATTCTAGTAGAACTCATAACAGTCGCGCATACATTTAGCAACCCGGTCTGGAGCAGAGTTATCGACAATTAACGAATGAACGTTGGAGTGCTTCTTCTGAGACATGCATAGGATGTCACCCAAGTATTACATATCATTGGCAGCTGTATTTTGTTTTTAACAATCCACAATTTTGCTTCTTTATAATGTATAAAACTTACATAAGAAATTTTGACATAACAACATCAATAGTGCTGCGATTTGTGTGAAGTTCTGCACACACTCCACAGTGATGAGTAAAAGGTGTGCTTTCTTATCACAACATTAAGATTCGCTTGAAATAGTCTGCCTCTCGGTTGCAAAAAACTTCATTCCGGACGTCATGGTAGATCCGCTTTACAACATCGCCTGGCGGAAATAAAAATGCAAACTAATTTTTTAGTAGCCTGCGAAAAACACTGTAAATAAAGATTTAGTCGTGAAGTGTGGGTACAAAGACCTCTAGCTTCAGAACTAAGTTGCCTTATCCTTAAAAGCCCATGTGTTCATTTCCTATTCAAGCTTGCAGGTAATATATTAGCAGTTAAAATTGCTAAAAGTTATCTGGCAATTTTAGGTAGTGCTGGCAGTCTCACCTTAAGGTTCCTGAACCTTGTCTTTGTCTTAGCTGAAGTTTTTTTTGTGCGTTACGTATTACAAGTCTTTCTCTGCTTCCCTATTTCTTACGGTGGAATCCTCCAGGCATAAAATAATGAAAAGCATATAATTAATCTTTGAAATATGTATATGGTGTAAATTTGCGGACAATCAATCTCCGATGCCTCGGGGAGTTGAAGTAACTTTTATTATCTTTATTTTCTTAAGTTGATGGTGACCTATTATAAAATTAGACTTACCGCTTAAGTCCGAGTGGGGTCGTACTAAATAGGATGCAACACTTTAAGAAAAGACTACGTTGACCCCTTTGTGTTATGAAAATAAAATAGGAAAGATGGCAAACTCAAGAGTCATTAATCAAAGAGTGTGTAATTTCTTCTGAAATACATTTCGATTTCTTCGTAATCGCAACACATTCACTTATAAATCGAAACTTTGATCATCTATTATGATCATATCTAAAACATGAACTGCTAGATGCAAAGTCCACTTTGGGATCGTTTCCTTCAGGAAAGCGGTAGAAAAATTGGTGGAGAAAGATAAGCAGATCTCCAAAAGGAGTAGCGTGCCCATGCTCTATTTGAGCTGCTCAACCTTGTCAAAAAAGAGGGCAGGAGTATGTAGGGGGAGGGGAAACCACGCATGTTTCTCACGTGATTCTTTAGTAGCAATAACACGCTTATTATGTTATCTTGATTGAAAGCGATGAGCGTAACTTTTGCAGAATTGTGCATGAGTGAGAATAATCTTTTCTGCTCGCTCTACACGCAACCATCGCAAAGTTAAAAGGGAAAGTTTGAATTCTCCGTCAAACATGGACCGAATTTTTACCCGTCCACTGCTAGATTGTCTTTCATTCTTTTTTTATGCAATGCAATAGTGCAACAACTCCTTCATTTCCAAGAAATTTGGAATTTTATCTCAATATAGCTCCCGGTTGATTATGTGCCAGTACTTTGGGTCGCCATTTCTTACAGTTGCTTCCCCTTAATTTTCCAGTTTATTGGGCAGTTAATGGTATAGTTGAAAATATGTTCTCTTCCGCATGTCTTTGCATTCTTTGAGTGCCCAAAGCAGTGGATGGGCGTACCTTCTCTTCCAGTTCCTTGATACGGACACATAGAGCGCGCGTATCGATACTGGTCCAGACAGACCGCTCGTGCAGCGGAGGGGTGGAGGGGGGGGAGGGGGGTAGATGAACCCCCTTCCGCGTGTAATTTCCACCTTTCCCTGCGAACGTAGTTTGTGAACGAGTGTGTTAAATGTTAGTATAGGGAATTACTACAACCGCATTGGATCATGACGGCCAGTTCTTCTCAAACACTATTGAAAGGCGGTGCTTACTTCTTCAGAGATGAAAGGAGAAGGCTTTCCTGCTGTAAGCGAAGCTACTTCTGTAAGTCTCCTATCCCTTTGGAAAATAGTGGGTCTACCTTTGAACCTGGAAGCTGCTATCATACGGTAAGTGCTAATGATTTTCTCCTTCCCTCAGTGCCACTGCAAAGAAGACGTGCATAACGCATTTTTGACAACAGCTTTTTTGGGACGATGAGACCGAAAGAAATGTTATATTGTTATATATGCATGCTGCTAGAGACGTTGATTTAGACGTTTGAGAATGGCCAAATCACTTGGTCTCTTTTTTAAGCCTTATATGTTCTGATTGCGTGTCCATCAACTCGAAGCACTTATCGATCTCCGCTTAGGTGGCTCAGATGATAAAGCAATCGTCTACGCACAAGCAACTGGCATACTCTAGGACTAGCGGGGGAAAATAAGGCAACAACATAATACTATTTTCATAACATTACCTCGTCTCCATCAATCGATTACCACACACGTACAAATAGTAATTTATAGTAATAGCCCACATCAGTGAGATGATTGATGAAGATCAGAATGAATATGGAACACCTCAAGACAACTCTGGAGAACAACTGCTGAAATAATGGTTTAAATCGCACGCGTCCGCTTCCGGAATTTCATATTCGGCATTATTACACTAGTCCAACTGTCAAAAGTAATCTTAAACTAAAACCCGAGAAAACAGTAGATCAGATGAAGATCTGACGAGATTTGTACGGTATTCAACGCAATGGATTTCAATAATGACAGCTTATGATTAGTAAAGGATAAAACTAATGACAAAGCTATTGTATGTCAAATGAAAACTCCGATGAAAAGAGGTAGGCTAACAAATCCATGAAGCGATATAAAGACAGAATATGGGTGAAGAAAAACTATTTGCCTCGACCTCTTCTTATGCCTCCTCGAGACGATACAGCAGCAGCAGCACCTCTTCCTCGACCTCTTGCTGAAATTATTCCGTGCAAAGACTGTAGTGTACCAAGATATAAGGGCGACGAGGTAATTGCAATACTAGAACCTGAGGACACCAAAACCGTAACTTACGTGCACTCGGAGTTGGCTTTGCCTTCATTTTCGATTTCCCGCCTGGCTTATAATCTTGATCATCACTGTCGTCTTCGAAATCACTTTCGTCCTCATCAAGCTTTTCAATTATGTTTCCTTCTTCGTCAATCTCTATTTCTGAATTTTAGCAAAGAATAATTCTCGAATACAAACCCTATTTTTATTAGAAGTTCAGAAGTGACAAGTGATACCTATGGACTGACCGTACTCTTGCTGGGCACCTCTCCTGCGACCTTTTGACATGTCATCAGTAGCATATGGCAGCATACGATGTTCTTTGTTCAATGCTCGTGTTAACGCAGCTTTCACCTATAATCCAACATTGAGAACTGCATGTGCGAAAAAAACTCGAGCCCCGCACGGTTGCACGCTTTATCTCAGATGCTCCGATAAGAGCAAGAACAGCTTTTGTTATCAGATGCTTACTTTAGATGGCACACAACGTGTGCAATCAACTTCCTACATTTTTGCCTGATCAGAAAATTACCATTTCTAAGGAGGCTCAGATGCATGGAAAAATTGAATACCTTGGGAAGGATCTTGCTGGCGGGGTCAATTTTTCCTGGCCATACAGCTAGCTCTGCAACAGCTTCGCTATCCTCCCGCATCAAATCGTAATCGTTCATGGT